AATCTTTTTACGACTAAGACCATTTTTGGACCAAAAACGGAAAATTTTCAGTACCATAACTTTTAATTTCATTGATTTCAAAACTGAGTTTTCTTGCTCTTGCATTACAATCGAGGTTTTTTTTTTTAGTACATTCATAACGAAAACTTGAAAATGCTAAATAAGCAATAAATTTGGGGCGTAGTTGAATCAAGTATCTCTGTGTCCCCTGTGGAGATGCTTTATAGCATCTGATGCCAAGCTAGGCCCAACCTGTGCCTCTTCGTTGAGCCAATCCAAGCACTCATCGGACAAAATGCAACTAAAAGTGGAAGCAGGGGCCAGGAGCTCTCTAGTCCTCCATGCTGCGGCATATCGGGCAAGCTATGCACCCCGGATCGGGAAAGCGGCTGGGTAATCAATCCCCTCCGGTGGGCAGGTCTGATCATGACCAAACTGACACAAAAACCGGAACGGAAAATAGAATACGCAGTGGGTTAGACCAATCAATTGGATCCCAATCAGCCGAGACATACTATAGCTCATTGCCGGGAGGCTGAGCCAAGGACAACGCCAAGCAATGTCGTCTGCGGACAAGTTGCACATCCAATCGAACCACCACATTTCATCAAGAGCATTGACTAGGCGCTGTCGAAAGAAGTAGCCTCGAGCTGAATAAGCTGGGCAAGAGTCCACAACCTGCAACTTATCCATTAACCATACCTAGGGGAGGGATGGAAAATGAGAGAATAAAGAACAGAGAGATGTACGATGAGAGAAAAGTAAGACAAGGGTTTTGTGAGAAAAACCGAGCCTGAGGGTCGAGTGATGTGAGCAAATATATATGTGAGGTCGGGTGGGAAATATTACCTGCAGCAGCAGTGGACTTCCGGCAAACCTAGTCGCCTCCCGGCGATAGACAGAATCTAAGCCCATCAGTGTCTCGGCCAAGGTCATGGTAATACAGCTCTTCCCTTCTCTCAAGCCTTGGGCGACTTCAATCAGGCGAATGCTAGCCCCGCCGAAGCCCGAGGAAAGCAGAAAGTGAGACAACAAACATAAGCAGAGGGCGTGTTGCTGGAAACCCTACCAATAATGGTTGTTGCGGTCACCGGCGTCGGAAAAACGGTGGATCAAGCCGAGGATGTCCAGTTCCCCACTGCAGATCAGAGATCGAGCGTCATGCGCCGTGAGCCCACACATCCGCCCTAAAGCCTGAGCATGGCCAAAACGGAGCTGGGGCAAGATCACTTCAGAGCATTCAGACTCCATCAAAACCTGAAAATCTTCGAAAGTGGGACACATCTCTTGGCCGCCAAAGCTAAAAACATGCGTCACTGGGTTCCAGAACCTTGCCGCGGCATGGAGAAAAGGGAGCTGCAGCGGAGTACGGCTCAGCATGAATAGTGCATTCAAGCCGAAACCCCGGAAGTTCAGCTATTCCGAACCATCTAGAGAAGAGATCCAAGATGTGAGTTGTCGAGCGGACGCGTTTCACGTTTTTGAGTCATTACACTTTGTTTAAGTAATCTTTGCTTAAGTCTTGTTTTATCGAATTGTCAACATTATTGCATTTTGTTTATCGAGTTGTAAACTTGCTAGGGTTCTGTTATATCTTAGTAAGTTGAGTTGCTTAGTTTGTTGCGTCGGTTCACTACCTGACTTGGTGATTACACAATGCGCATTCCCATTCAATTCCTTTTTTTTGTGCAAAATAAATTGATGCGATACGATGCTAAAAGTTTAAAATACAAACACTTTTTCAAAAGCTATTTCATTTCATCATGCTTTACAACAAAGGTACAAGTTTTACAAAAAAATAAAACTACGTAACAATGTGCAAAGTGCTACAAACTACTAGCAAAAAGAAAAATAAAGCAGGAAACAACAGCATCAAAGTCCTCGGGAACGGGAACGAGAAACACTCCTCATCCTCTTCTGCGGGACGATCTCCGCACCATCATCATCATCTGAGTCGTAGCTGTCATCCTCAGGATCCCCCTCAGCCTCGCCTCTATTCCCCGAGCCAAAACCGGAGCCTCCCTCCTCAGCAGATGTCTCTGACTGACGGTCGGTAGCCTCCTCCTCCTCCTCAGCATCCTCTTCCTCCTCATCAGGCTCCACCTCCACAACGTGAGCCCTGGGTCTGCGGACAGGCCCTCCTCGAGCTCCCCGAAAAGGCCTAGATGGCCCGGATCCTCGGGAGGGCCGAGATGGCCCCGCCCCCTGAAAAGGCCCAGATGGCCCAGCTCCCCAAGGAGGCCTAGGTGGCCTGGCCTGCGGCTGACCGGACCATGAAGGCATCTGAAAACAAAGAGTTCAATTCAAATACATCAGTCCAAATATATACATCAGATACAGATACAAGCAAAGGCTACGTAAAGTGGGTGCATGTAAATACAGTGTACAAGTGGGGTGTGTGTCAGATGTGCTCTACACAAATAGTCTATCGATGCAGTAGAAATCAGCATGTCATCAGAAGTATGATAAATGCCAGAAAACTGAAGGGTACCTGAATGCCCGCGACAGACAACTGTGCCTCCCTACGCAGGACCATGCCCTCGAGTGTGGCCACCACCCCAACCACCTCCTCCATGTACCCTCGCGATGGCTGCAAAAATGAGCTCATAATCATCAGTGAACAAAAAATGTCTAAACATCTGAATGATGAATGAAAAAGTGGAGCATACCGGCGGTGAGTCCGGATCAATGGCGTATCGATCACTGGGCATCGGAGGCTCTAGTGGAATCGGAGTCGGAAAGCTAGCCCCATACTGCCACGCCATCAAATCAGTAGGCATATCTGGCCATCCGAGATGAGGATGAGTCGACGGAGCCGGAGGAACCGGTCTACTCCCACCTCTAGATGTACCGGCCCTACTAGTAGAAGGGGCGTCTGCAGCCCGAGCCCGAGCCTGGCCCGAGGATGACATACCGGCAGGCCTCATCATCGGGATATGAGCTCCCGTCAATGGAGGCATCAAATATATGTGACGGTAAGTGGCGTAGTCCCCCTCCTCAACATATAATAAAGCATCACTGCCCAGCACGGCGCCGACTACCTCCGAGTAAGAGAGCCTGTCAGCAGTTCGCATACTGGCTGGAGGTACTGCGGGAGGATCCTGAGAAAGATACCCCCATACCTGGCGCAGAAAGTGTTCCCCCAGGAACCATGCCCTGCCAACCGGCCCTTCAAGCAGGACCCTATACTGGGAGATGTCCGACGCTCCGGAATACTGAAGTCGGAGACCATCACCCAGGGACACCCAGGGCTGCCATGTGATCTGCGGATGGTAAATGCATAAACCAATAAGAAATCGAGAATATACAAGAGCAAATCAAAGATGAAAATGAAAAGAACTGAAAGTTCTGAGGTACCTCTGAATGTCGCACAGTGTCGAAGTACTGTCGCAGGCGAAGGAGGGTCTCTCGAGGTCTCGGCCGGTGCGGGCCCTCGAATATCAATGAATATGGGGTCACGGGAATCCCTACCACCTCCAGCTCTGGGGCTAATGATAGGAAATTTACATAGACCCATAGCTGAGAAAGGCAGTGCAGAATGTAAGTACGAAATGCTGAGAGCAAAATACAGACTGTAAAAGTGCACTGTGTGTGTGCAATATACAAGTAATGAGAAGCAGAAATGTAAATCAAGGGGACGAAAAGTACCTCCCAGGCTCTCCAGTAGCCGCCAAGCAAATCGCCCCGCCCGCGGGAGGTCGCGCTCATATAAAAGTAAAGGGTAGCCAGGCCGGCGCCCCCCCAGTCAAATCTACTGACCTGCGATAGGTCGACCAGAGCGCTCAGCAGGTATAGCCCAACGGTGTTCCCTCTGTCGGCGAACAGGGTAGTCCCGAAGAGGAACATAAGGAAACCACGGGCATACTGCTCTGTCTCCTCGGGAGTCTCAGGCACCATCTCCGCCCGCCGAAAATGGGAAGAGAACCAAGTGTATCGGACTCTCCCAGAGACCCTGTCAACAGGTGGGCGAGCCCCCAATAGATACATCCAGGCGGCCTCCCACTCGCCCATATCCTCATCGTAGGGGATGGACCAACCTCCGATGTCAAGGCCGGTCAATACAGCGAAGTCAAAAGGGGTCATGGTCATGTCCCCGGTAGCAGAGAAATGAAAGGAGTTGGTGGTGTCCCACCATCTCTCTACCAAGGCAGCCATCAATGTCCTCCTGGCAGGACAATGCGACAACCCGACGCAGAAGGGCCCGAATCCCGCCAAATCTACCAAATCTCGGACACCCTCCGGGAGCTCGGCATACCAGTCCCGCGCGATGGTGGAACCATACCCCCGCACACTGCGGGAACCAACCTGCATTCAGAATGAATACATTTGTCAATAATGAAATGAATGGGCTGTGTGCCAATGAAATGAATGGGCTGTGTGCCAATGAAATGAAGTTTGGGCTGTGTGCTAATGAAATGAATGGGCTGTGTGCCAATGAAACGAAGTTTGGGCTGTGTGCCAATGAAATGAAGTTTGGGCTGTGTGCCAATGAAATGAGTGGGTTGTGTGCCAATGAGATGAAATGGGCAGTATGCCGATAAAGTGAAATAAGCTACATGCAAATCTATCTGGGCTGCGTGTTCAGAAAATTTGAAGTTTGGGCTGCGTGTTCAACTTTCAACTAGTGTGGGCTGCGTGTTCACTATCTAATCTGGGCTGCGTGTTCAGAAAATTTAAAGTGTGGGCTGTGTGTTCACTTTCGAATTCGGGCTATGTGTTCGACAAATCAATGTTTGAACCGTGTGTTCTAATGTGGGCTGTGTGTTCGCAATTAATTAATGAACCGAGTGTTCAGAAATTCGAGTGTTTAAACTACATGTTCAGGATGCGAGCAAAGTACTATGTCATAGTGTGGGCTGCGTGTTCACTATCTAACCTGGGCTGCGTATTAAGAAAATTTAAAGTTTGGACTGCGTGTTCAGTTAAATTGTGGGCTGCGTGTTCACTATCTATCTGGGCTGCGTGTTCAGAAAATTTAAAGTGTGGGCTGTGTGTTCACTTTCGAATTCGGGGTGTGTGTTCGACAAATCAGTGTGTGAGCCGTGTTTTCTAATGTGGGCTGTGTGTTTGCAATTAATTGGTGAGCCAAGTGTTCAGAAATTCAAGTGTTGAAACTACATGTTCAAGATGTAAGCAAAGTACTATGTCATAAGCTAAACTGCATGTTCAAGCATGGCAAGGGTGCGAAATGTAAAATACAGAAGATGAGGTTAATACCTCTCCGGCCTCGTGAGAGAGATGCTGCTCCGGCTCTCTGAGAAGCAGATCCCCGGGTGCTCGCTCGTCAAAACTGGTGAAGTGACGAAAGACAGCACGAGGGAGGACGTGTGCTAGCGGACGGTACCTCCCGGGAATGAAAGGTCGGGTCCTCGGGGGTAGAGTCATAGGATCGAAATCATCGCCGGCACCTGGAAAACCTCCACCGTGAGGAGAATTACCCGCCATTTTTCAAAGAATCTGCAAAAGGAAGCAAAAATGAGCCAAAATTGGAAAAAGTCAACAAAAGTCAACTCTCGAGAAACGAAAAGTCAACAAAAGTCAACTCCCGAGAAAATATTCCAAATATTGAGACAAACTTACCTCAAGTGGCGAAAATGCAAAAAGAACTCCGAAACCGGAATTTAATCGCTTCAAAGTGCTTGAAACTGAGTATTTTTGCGGAAACAATTTGCGCGGGGCGTTGGAAAACGCGCGTGAAACTCAGATCTGGAGAGGAAAGTGTTGTAGAATGCAAGAAAAGAAGGGGGACTCGGCTGCCTTTTATAGGCCTCAAGCCTTGATTGAAGAAGCATGCAAAAAGGAGGGAAAAAGACCAAAATAGCCCCGGAAAAAGCACATGGCCGGCCGGCTCCTATTTCTAGCCGGCCAGCTATCTGCTTTTTGCAGAAATGGCCGGCCAGCTATCTACTTTATTGGAAACCGGTTGGCCACCCCCCCTTGGGAAGATAAATGGCCGGCCATGTTCCCCACATGCCCACCTAGCTCTCTGCAAATTTTGAGGAAGATCGGAGTTCCCGGGACCTGAAAAAGTTCAAGAAAAGTACACTTCCGGTCGCGAAATCGCTCCGTCGAGACTTCGGCTTCAAGTTCTAACATGTGTATCATCATCATCCATCGAAATCCAAGTGTATCCTTTTTGAATGAGTTGTAACCTTTTAGGGAAGCGGATCGGAGGCCGTGATTGAGTTACCTTCGCCAAAACACGCATTTCCGTACTCGTTGTTTCATGACGAATGAGCATCCTGATTTATGCTAGTTTTGTACTATCGTGCACATAACTTGCATTCTCATGAGCATACTCACATTGTCATGTACATTTCTTATTATTGGCATACCTCTGTGTTTTGAGCTTGCGTTGTCACGCATGTTCCACTCTTGCATTGCGATGCATTCACTTGCCGGCACTGCGTGTGTCGAACCTTCGGAATCACATTAAATATATGTTGGTAGCATATTGTACTTGTTGCAATTTTTCTCTTTTGCAGGCACGATATTGTATGTATGGTTCAATTGAGGCTGGTGCGACCAGACGAATCGCGCAGGTATCGTATCTTCTCCGTGTGAGACGTGGCGGGGATTGAATAATCCTCCGCATTCTTAACTACATGAAATGTAGTTGTTGCTTTGCATTCTTGCTTAAAACTGTTGTATCTATTTGCGAATACTTTCTTCATTACAGCTTGCTGCATTTGCACGATCATTGGGTTACCTTTGGCTTCTTGCATATCATTTGCATTTTGCCCCCTGCCTGCGGGCATGCCTGCGGGCACATCTCTGTTTATCTTGTACGTTTGTCTAAGTCTTCGGCCTTGTCAAAAATGGGTCGTCTCTGGGCTTTGACATTCACTCCCGTCACTTGTGACTTCCGAGTTCTGTCAAAGAGGGGCAACTGTAGACACCCCATTTTTGACCGACCTTAAGACTCAGACAACATCGATTGAGCGCTCAGTGATGGTGCATGTTCTGCTTGTCCTGAGATTTGGAAGTTTCGGCTAAGAGCCTTGCCTCCAAGCCTCGGGACCCTTTGTACTTTGACTCGGTCCGCGGACCAAGTTTTGTTTTCTCTTACTGGAGGGAGGGAGAGGTCTTGTAGACCATCTCTCAGTGGCCGTAGGCTACATTTGGTGGCCGTAGGCCATTTTGCCCATTTCGGAGTACATGATAAATTACAAACCATTTTGCAAAATCAAGCCCAAAAGCTTTGCCAATTGTACAAAACAAAACTTGAAACTTGAAAAATAACATGTATGTATAGAATTGAAATCTCTTCTTCTCAAAACATAAATTCATGGAGTGAAAAGTGTAAAAACAAGTGAATCCTTAAAGTCCTACAAAAGTCTCATGCATGTGAGAGTTATTTGAAATTAAAACTCAAAACGGGCTTAAAATGCATGCATGCATAATATGATCTTCCTTTCTATTTCATCAACTCAATTCTTGCATCACTCAACTTAATTCTTTTGAATTCATGTGTTAAGTGACTTAATTACAAAACTAAAGGCTTGAATTCTTACCTTAAATGATCAATTATGCTTAGATACTAAGTTGGTTGAGCTCACAAGTCAAATGCTCCAAATTTCTTCTCAATTCAATCTCCCTTTCTCTTGAACTTAAGCTCCTATACTTAAACTATCTCTCTTTCTCCCACGTTTTGCTCTCTAAGATGACAAAATGAGAGTGTTGTAGTCAAGAAGCCTTATATAGGTTAGTTTAGTGGGCTTAATAAAGCTAGGCTTAATTTAACTAATTTGTATTATTTAATGCTAATTATTTGGTTCCGAATCAAATTTTTAATTGAACCTACCATAATGTTTTAAAATTTTCAAATGACACATAAACCAAGTGATCGTATGCTGATAAGACCTTCAATTCGCAAAACAAAATAGAAACATAAACAGATATTTCTGCGACAGATAGATATAAATGCAAATAACATATAACACATGTAATTAACATAGAATTTCATCTTAATTACTTATTAGGCCTTCTTAATAAAAAAATCATTAGCTAATCACAGGTCGTGGTTGTTAAAGAGAGATAGTTGGTCCTGAAGTGTTGTGAAACCCTATATAAGAAGAACACATCAAGAAATTCATTAACTACAGGAATAGTTTCCACATTAGGGCTATCAGAAGTCACATTTAAAACACTGTACACTAACATAGCTAGGATCAT